TCTTTTTAAGCCCCATCCAAATTATCAATAAGTGTACCAGTATTATGGACCAAAATAATCTAGTTTGGACATTTTTATGAATTGGACACGAAATAATTGATTTTAAGGGACACGAAACGAATGATTTTGAGTTTAAAGACACGAAATAAATGTTTTTGGATTAAAAAAATTTAGGAAAGGTTAGGGGTATGGTCAAGGCTTAAGGGAAATTCACAAGACTCTTCAACTCTTTACTGAACTCGTTAATCAAAGACGAGAAAGGTACTCATCACTGGGTTTTGTTTTTGGGGAGACACAATTAGGTGTCTACAGAAGCCCCCACTTTGACTGAGTTTAGAGAAACGTAAGTTTCGAAAACAAAAGTCAAAGTAGATTGATAGGGACGGAGAATGATCTAGAAAGTTCTACGATCCTAAATCATCCTTTTTAACGCCGATACCTGTAGAAAAAGTCAATTCTACAAATAAAGGAGTTAAGGGGAAAGAAACGAGTATCTGGGTTTGCTGAGCACACGTCTCTCGGTGACATCAAATCAAAGTTTTCTTTGTTTGACAAGCTCCACATTCTCAGGGAGCGCTGTCGAAGACCGCTACGCTTCGAACCATCTTCTGAAATCAAGGGTGACAACCTCCGCATTCTAAGAGAGCGCTGTCGAAAACCGCTACGCTTTGAACCATCTTCTCAAATCAGGGGTGACAAACTCCGCATTCTTAGGGAGCGCTGTCGAAAACCGCTGCGCTTTGAGCCGTCTTCAAAATTGGGTGACAACCTCCACATTCTCAGGGAGCGTTGTCGAAGACTACCACGCTTTGAGTCGTCTTTAAAAAATTTCATCTTCACGCCTCGGAAGTGATAGTCACGCTTTGGTAAACATATCGTAAAACCTTACTCTTCAAGATATTAACAAGCTCAAGTTGATTTTCTTGGAAATCTTCCATCTATGGAAATTGCGATCGTAATCAGGCCGATCATCGTTCAACGTGATCGTAATCGGGCTGATCTTTTCTCAATGTGTTCAATCAAAGTGTTTAAAAAAAAGCGATCGTCATCAGGCCGATCATCAATCAAAATGCGATCGTCATCGGGCCGACCGTCAATCAAATCAGGACCTTTGGGAAATTGCGCAATAATTTGTTCATCAATTTCTCATTACGAGGCTCGTGAAAAATCAACTGCTCATCACGAGGCTCGAGTGAATAATCATAGTCCAACAATTTATTCTGCAGAACCTCAAATCTGACACGCTAGGTCACTTTCATCATGTGGTGACAGTGCCTGTCGTGCCATGTTAAGATCGGACATTTTCATTTTGCCGCCGCTGTTCGTACTCAATTCAACTCGTTTTAGATTTGTTGGACATTTTTTGATCTTCTTCATCGATCTATGTAAGTTTATCGGAAGCTTGGTCCACCAAGGCCTTAGTGTACCTGCACCTATACTTTGGACTATATGACTTTGCTCTTGTTCAACTCGACTCGATTAGAGTTCAAGTGCATGACCCAAGTGTGTAAACTCAACTCGACATGACGTGTGTGACTCAATGTGTATAAACTCAATGACTCAACTCAATGTGCATGGACTCAACTCTTCGTGACTCGATGTGTTTTGACACGATACGTGTAAACTCAATTCAATCATGTGGTGATTGTTCTCGTACAGCTCAAAAAAAATTAAAAAAATTTCGTCATTTTTGTGGAGGGTATCTAACTTTCTCCCCAAAAAGAAAATCTAAAAAATGGGAAATCAAAATGAGTGAGCGTAAAAGTATTTTGAAATTCCTAAAAGGATTCCAAATCATCAAAGACTAATCATGGTAAAGGGTGGTAAGCAATTTAGGATAAGATGGAAAAGGAAAAGTTCAATTCGAAAATATGGAGTAGTACGAGTCATATTAGGAATCAAATCAAAGAGCATCGGACACGACATTTGTATCTTAGACGGCAAAATCATCGCAACGCATTAGGGTCTGACGCGGCGCGATGGTGTTATCGTAGCGCGACAATTCTGTCACAGCGCGCTGGTTTCGAAAAATCCAACTTCGAATAAATTTCAGCTTCTGTGCTGATTTTCGGTTATAAAAAGCCCCCGAATATGTCACATTCAACATAATTCGAGTCTTTAGCTTTCATATTCTCCTAGCTTTCATATTCTGGCAATAATCATGGCTAAAAATTTTAGTGAGATTACTCGTAAGTGGTGTCGGTCTTTGACCAATAGTGAACGAAAAGAGCTTGAATATTTCAACATGAATGGCCTATTAAGTCTTAGGAGTGTAGAATTTGATGGTAATTTTATTCATGCTGCAATAAAATATTGGGATCCCAACACTCATTGCTTTGGGCTAGGAAATGATGAAATTAGCCCCCTGCCTGAGGAATTTGGAGCTATTTTTGGCTTTCCTTTTAGGCATCTTGTCGTAATCCCTACAATATGTGAGTATTATTATAAGGATTTTGATTGTTTTTATATTCTTAGGAAAGCCAATTTAAATTCTATAGTTCATGGAAAAGAAGAAGATCTAAGAAAATTTGCATTTTTTTTCTTTAATAGACTTAAGTCTAGTTCTTTTCACATATATAGAAGAAGATCCTTTTTATTTTGCATGTTTAGTCAACTCTTGCTCACTAATGGTAGTAGCCATACAAGTCAAGTTATACTAGCATCAGTTATGGAACAAGTTGACGCCGGAAGAAATCCCATGCCTGCAATTGTTGGAGAAATAATGATGAGTTTGGATGAATTGAAAAAGATCCCAAAGCACAAATTTGAGGATCTCCTATATTATTACATATTTAAAGGTAGAAAATCAATACTTTTAATTACAGAAATAAAAATATTTAATTTTGTAGTGTAATAACAATTAATTTCCATGCTTGCAGATTTGGCTAATAAAACGATTGGGAATAAATTAATCAATCCTCCAGAAGATATTGAAAAGTAAACTCCAAATTGTCTTGTGAGAAGAAAGAAACACTTTTCTATAAAGATGGGCCATCGGGAGTGGAGAAAAATATTCCAAACTCGCGATTTCTCCATCAAGTGGGTCATTCCATGGTGGAAGATTGAGAAGATGAATGGAGTCAATACTCAAGTTTTCTGTCGCATCCCAAGCTTATCAAAGTTGAATTTTTATTTCCCTTTTAGAGTGATGAGGCAGTATGGACTTGGATAAACTATCCCCTTTGGTGATGATCGTCGTCCCCATGAATATTCTGTTTCAAAGAATGTTGAGAGGTTCGATGATTATTGGTACGCTAGACCATTATGGACTGTTGTATCTGATAGAGTTCCTCGTCCATGGTCTCTGGAATACAAGCAATGGTTACTTGCTCGAAATAAAAAAGACAAGAACAAGGCTGGAAAATCAAACTCTAAGGGTCTAGAGAAGAGTAACATAAAAGACTGTCTAGGGGACAAGAAGGCTCCACCTAAAGATCGTTTGGGTTCAAGAGTTGAATTCAAAACTCCTATCATGCCTAAAAAGAAAAGTATTATAGAGGGTAAGTTGAAGAGAAAAGCTACTCCTATAGAGAATAAAAGAAAGTTTGGGTTGAGAAAAAGGTGGGGGTCTTTGCTAAAGGAGAGACTTCTTCCTCAAAGGTTTCAGTTCGCTCATCTAAGGGTTCACTACTGGTAAGAAAATTATCAGATGACAAAGACACGGATAAGAACTGGAAAAGGGCTCGTAAAGAAAAGGAAGAGTAGATTTAGAGTATTTCCTTGCTTTTAATTTTATTACACAATTTTAATTTAAAGTTAATTTTATTTTTAAGCTTAATGCCATCAATAATGTAATTACAATTTTTATTTAATTATTAATGCAATTTTAGCTTTTAATAAAATTAAATTTTATTCCCAATACAATTTTATTAGAAATAATTTGTCAAGTACGGAAGTTGGGAGCAATGGAAAAAACTTAGATGATTCAAAGTTAATCCGAGTTCTGAAGTCGAAAATTTTTCGAACCAATTCGAATGTAAATAGATCAAATTGCTCGCAGTCTAATCGACAAAATCGAACTTTTTATCGCGGCGCGATGGTCCTAACGCGGTGCATTGGTCTTGTCCCAATGCGTTGGAACCTGTTGTGGTGTGATAGTGAGGCGTCGACTTTATTTTCTAAATTTGCGATTTTCTTATCGATTTATTATTTCCAAACGCAAGATTTGAAATGTTTAAAGTGGCCGCACCCTACGGAAGGGTTGTCCGCAACCCTTAGTATTTAAGGAATCAGGCCAAACATAGCTCTCTTGAGTACAGAACTCATTAGATCATGGGCAGAACTTCTTAAGTTGGTCAAGGTTTGTCATACTTGAGAATTCGTTGCCATCCATATCTGTTAACTTAGTTGCGCCTCCAAATAGGATAGCTTTCACGATGTATGGTCTAGACCAATTAGGCCTAAACTTGCTTCTCGGATCTAGAACATTCTTTCTAAGAGATTTCAACACCAAGTCTCCTTCCTTGGTGTTTCTTGTCTTGATCTTTTTGTTGAAGTGTCTAGCCTTGCGGTTTTGGTAGCATTGGACATGATGTAAGGCTTCTAGTCATTTTTTATCGAGTATAATTAGCTCTTCATATCGTGCTCTTGTCCATTCAACCTCATCGAGTTTACATTCCAATGCTATGCATAAGGAAGGTATTTCTAGTTCTACAGGTTGTACGGCGTCCATTACATAGACTAGGGAGAACGATGTAGTTCCTGTGGATGAGCGGATGAATGTGAGATAACCCCAAAGAACAAAATAGAGTTTAGCAGGCCAATCTTTGTAGTTTTCTGTCATCTTTTCGATGATCGTCTTTAGATTTTTATTGGCTGCCTCTACTGCACCATTCGCTTGAGGTCTATATGGAGAATAGTGATGATGTTGAATACCATACTTTTTAAGCAGATCTTCACACTCTGCTTGAAAGTGAGTACCATTGTCACTTATAATTTCATGTGGGACTCCATATCGACATATGATCTTTCTTTCTATGAAGAGTGCCACATGTTTTGCAGTGGGTTACACATAGGATGCTGCTTCAACCTACTTGGTGACACTAGGCGAAAAAACGAATTCCCCACCGGTTCAAACCCCCCCTTTCCCACCGGTTTAGAACAGGGTTGTATTTGGGGGGTGCTAAAGCCCCATAGATTTCGCACCGGTTCAAAATCGGTGGGAAAAAGGACTTTTCGCACCGGTTCTTAGGGAAAACCGGTGGAAAAAACTGAACTTTTTGCACCGGTTTTTACTTAGAACCGATGCCAAAAGTCCCCAAAAAAAAATTATAAAAAAGACTTTTAACACCGGTTCTTTTCCAACACCGGTGCCAAAAATGCCCAAAAAAATTAAAAAAAAAATTGCATTTTTTTCACTTAAATTGATATATAAACACTAACATATATATAAAGTTACAGAAATTTACTTCTAATACTCCAAAAACCTGTAAATAGCCCAAACTAAGCAGCTCTACATGCTACAAAAATAACAAAACACAGCGCAACACCAAAGCAGCAGAGCAAGCACATCAACTCAGCATCACAGCACCCCAGACCAGCAACACAGCACTGCAAAAGGAAGTAGACAGCAACACAACAACACCAACACAGCAGCGCATCACATCAACACAGGAAAACTCGACATCACGGCACAGCAGACACAGCACTGTAGCAGCTCACAGCAACAACAGCTAAGCAGACACAGCCTGACAGCTAACATCAACAGAATAGAAACAACTACACAGGAGCATTGATCTTCAGCTGATACAACCATTTGCAATGATCCCTCTTCCACGAATTATCCATGGTGCTCCTATCCGTACAATGGCATAACCTTAACCTGCCTACATGAAAGGAACAAAAAATTTAGCTAACAAATCATATCCCTTATGATTAGGAAATTTGTAAACATATTCATTCTGAAACAACAAAATTAAATTGTTTATTGGTTCATCCAAAAATGGCCTCTCAAATAGTCTTGGATTAGTAGGGGTAATGCAATTTTCTGATTCTTTTCAATCTCCTTGATCACTACTATATATGTATAATCTGCTTTCTTTCCTTCTCTACTATAATTTATTCTCAATTTACTCCCCAAGCTACCTCATAACAGAATTCTATTGTCATTTTCTATAATGCTCCACCCCTGGGTTAGTCTATTACATTATGCTAAATAATACCTTAATCAATTTCTGTTTTTAAACGAAGAAATTCTAATATTCATCTCCTGGAGCTAACTACTCACCCAAACAAAAATCATAAAATACTTCTATCACAAATAAACGCAGCTTTATAGAAGTTGGCTAACAAATGGGAGCCAAAGGAGGGAGGGATTTAAAAATAATAACCAATTAATAGAAAGAAACAAAAAAATTAAAGAGGAAAAATGAATTAAAGGATTAAAGCTAAGGGAAGACAACTACAAAGCAGTGAAATTTAAACACTGTCACAAGCACTAAACTAATTGCAGTTTCAACAAGTCACACAACTACAGTGTCTTCCAATCAGAATGGCAACAAAAAAATCAGAAATTGAAGGATACAATTGAAAAAAGATTGAAGTGCAAGAAAAAAAGAAAAAAAAATCTCGTAATAGAAAATTATACAACAATAAAATCACTGAAAGTTAAAGCAATACATGTTACATTAATAAAATGACTGTAAGAGACTCTCTGCACTTATGAAGTAATGTATGCTTAAAGGGTGTGTATCACAACTGATAGAATAGTACCTTGTCTGCAGATCCGGTTATGCTGAACTTTCATCCTGTGGAACAATCTTAATGCTGGTAACCTGCAAAAAAAGCAATGAAGTGTAAATAGTTTAACATTTACTAGTCCATATGGCTTTTGCATTGCAAAACCACGCATAAGAAAGACCTTTGAATGACCACTTAGTGTAGATACAATCTGTCCAGAAGGTCGATCAAAGAGAACAGCATTTGTATCAGCCCCTCCGGTCGCAATGATATCCTATAAAAGCATGGATATATAAAAGCATGGTTTGAACAACGGATCCAGTCTTGTCCTTGTAGAATTACAGACATGTTGTTACTTGTTAGATCAATCAACAATAACAACTACTACATCCATTCGTTTATGTTACGGAGTTTTTACTATGTTTCACATTCGATTGTTTCCTTTTTACACTTGTTCCCCTTATTAGATAACAAAACAAATAACCCATCAACAAAGATTAAATCATTTGAAGTAATTACTATATATTGAAGGAGTAAATCAATAACAAGAAGTAGAACTTGAACCCCAATGATAGTCGGCTATATGAACCAAAATTTTATCAAGGAGGCGTGATGATAGAATATAAACAGAGTAAATCGAGTAGAAAAAAATTATACCTGAGAGAATCCATGTGAAGCAGAAAACAGCAATTGAAGCAGGTATTTTTGAAGCAGGTATTGAAGCAGAAAACGCATTAAAATCTTTTGGAAAATTAGGAAGATGAACCTCCATTCTTCTTTCTGTTCTTCCCCAAATGATCTTAAATAATTAAAAGAAAGAGAAGTTTGACTTGAGATTTGTATGACAGTACATACAAGTTTTAGATTAATATATATACAATCATGAATCATGGACAAGTATTGTAAGAATTAAAAGCAAGATTATATACAGTAATATAGTTACAAAATAAATGCATGTAGTTAATTGGTCGCTGTCACACTCTAAGTTCAGGGCCGCTTTAAACTTATCAGGGTGCTCAGTCTCTACAAGTTGTGTTGTTGTTGAGTGGTAAAGATTTTGATACAATTAAGAGTGCGAATGCGCGATAACCGAGGCTTTTGAGGATGTGGACTTGAGATTATCGAAATGGTAAGCAAGCACATCTCACTTGACATGCTCTTTGCTAGTTCCTAATATATTGACTCTAAGTGAATCAGGTAATCTCACGGTCCGGGAAAGCTGAAGTGTTGACTGATCCTCATAGACCCTATGGAAGCAACAAGGCATCACTTCAGGAAATTAGAAGAATCAATGAAGCAGGTGGATTGGTGTGTCTTCCTGTTCTTAATATTTAATTCTGTTATATTTCTGGTATACACAAAGGCAACTGCAAACAGGCCAGGAAAACAGAACTAAAGTATGGCAGATAACACCTAGGAATGCTGATAACGAGACATGTTCTGATTTCATGACCCCACAGAAAAGACTTCTAAATTCGATTGAAAAGGTTAGGGAAGTTTGGCTTGAGGATTGAAAGAAACTAGAGAAGACTCCTGCTGCCAAGAGGCAGAAAGAAACTAGAGAAGACTCTTGCGTACATTGATGTCAATGAGATGACCCGTGGAGTATGCCTAGATGGGAAGGGAGTTTTGTGCACTTACAAGTTCTGATGATCCCATATCCTAAGTCGATCATCTTCCAATGATCCCATATCCTAATACTACTACTACTATTCTTCAGCTATGCTTTTGCTATCGCTCACATCAACTAGTTTAGCTATACTTGCAGCTATCTTTCACTGCATGTAATTAACCAGCTTGTAATGGACCTTGATTATTGGCTTTAATTAATAAAATCATCCAAATTGTTTTTATTTGTTTTGTGTTTCTTTTGTTTCTGTTTTATCCTATTTTTAAGCTGAGGAAGCACAACCAAAAGAAAAAAAAAAAAAAGAGTATTTGCAGCGCGCCTAGGTAGACTGTGCTGCAAATAGTTGGATTATTTGCAGCACTCCTAGGTAGAGTGCGCTGTGAATAGTCCTATTATTTTGCAAATAATTTTGAAGTTGTATAACCTCGCCAGTCACCAGTCTCACCACCCCGGTTATAACCGGGAGAAATTTTGAAGTCGAGCTAATCCTTAGCTTCCTACTAGTAGATTTTAACCATGCTCCTCATCAGCCTCATATATGTGGGAATTCTCTGTATGCAAGCGAAGGAAAAGATGTACTCCATATGACAGTAACTACAGGAGTATTACTTGATACACAAAATTAACTGTCAACTCTACATGAGGCAAGAAAGTAATAGAAGAAATCGAAAACTTGTTGTAATGCACAGAAATAGATAACGCATTTTCTTAAGATTAAAAATCAGTTTAGGGCCAAGGAGAACACATTATCAATGCAGATCAAACTCCGTTAAAACAACAATGCTTTGCAGAACATCCGAACATATATAGTCTAAACCTAGTCCGCCTATCTAAAGGTAAACCATCATCTTACCTCGAAGCTGGTTCAATGGAGGTGAGAAAGCTCAGAATCGGTGGAGGTGTAGCCGTGACAAGGAGGTCGTTAGGGTGGAGGTGTAGCCGTGCGCGCTTCAATGACAAACCCTATATTACCACAACCCTCAAATTACTAAATTGAACAGAAAATCAACGACAAACCCTAGATTGCGAAAGAAAATCAATGAATTCGCACAACCACAAGAAAAATCTTACCTCGAAGTGAGTTCAATGGAGGCCAGAGCTAGTTCAACGGAGGTGCTGCTTCAATGGAGTGAGAAAGCGAGTAAACCAATTCAATGGAGAGAGAGCGAGCTGCTTCAATGGAGTGCAGAAGGAGATGCGAAAACGAGAGGGAGATGCGAAAACGGAGAGGGAAAGCCGGGAGGAAGAGCAGGAGATGCGAAAATGGGAGGGAAAGAGAAGAGCAGAACGAAGAGGGAAAGCAGGGGGAAAAAGAAAGAAGAAAGAAAGCCTTAAACCCTTTTTTTTTTTCTTTTTTTTTTTTCTTTTTACATTTCGCACCGGTTTTTATTAGAACCGGTGGCAAATATCTTTTCTCCCTTTTTCCTTTTTTTTTCGTTTGTAATTCGCACCGGTTCAGATGATTTCGCACCGGTTTAATAGGAACCGGTGCGAAAAGTCATTTAGCTTATCCCGCCCATTTCTTTTGCCACCGATTTTCAAGAACCGGTGTGAAAGGTGCGGTGCCTAATTCATTTTTTCTACTAGTATGAAATAATCAATGGCGGACGTATTCATAGCCTCCTAATCCAGGTGGAGTGATTTTTCCAATGATATCTGTTCCCCAGGTTGAGAAGGGTCATGGAGATGTGTAAGTGTAAAGAAGAAACGGTGGAACGTGTTGCAAGTTCGCATATATCTGGCACTTTGCACACCTTTTCACGTATTGATAGCAATCTCTTTTCATGGTAGTGCAATAATAGCCTTGGTGCATGACTTTCTGGACTAGCATTTTACCATTCAGGTGTGTTCCACATGCTGCTTCATGGATGATTCTCATTGTCTTTTGTGCCTCCTTTTTGCCTACACATCGGAGAGCTCTTCCCTTAGGTACTCTTTTATGAAGTTCACCATCTATAAGTACGTACTGTGAGGCTAAGAGTCTCAAAACACGTTTTGCTCTTTTGTCATTATTAGGTGGATATTCCCCTTTAGTGACATAGTTGAGGATGTCTATGTACCATGGTTCTTCCTCGTCCTCTTGGAGTTATTCTTCATCCTCAAGGGTTTGAACATAGGAGGGCTTATGCCTTTTCTCTATGGTTAGAGGCATTTTCTCTATCTCCTTAGGAATTCTAACCATTGAGGCTAGTCTTGCTAAGGCATCTGAGAATTGGTTTTCTTCTCTTAGTAGGTAGGTGTACTCTACCTTGTCGAGTTGATCGGTGAGAGTTTCCAAGTAAGTTTTGTATGGAGCTAGACTTTCACTCCTCACCTTCCATCTCTTGGAAATTTGATTGATGATAAGGAATGAGTCTCCAAATATTCGAAGCTTTTTTTACCCCAAGTGCCAATGTTGTTTCGAGGTCTACCATACATGCTTCATATCCTGCAGCATTGTTGGTGACATCAAAGTCAAGTTTTATTGAGATTGAGATGTGCTCTTCATTTGGTGACACCAGTAAAACTCCTACGCCACATCCTTTTTAATTGGATGCACCGTCAAAGTACACTAAGCGAAAAACATAAATAGGCACCGGTTCAAACCAGCTAATGGGCACCGATTTTCATCTGTTAGGTATTTGAGTGAAGATTTGGCACCGGTGCCAAAAACCCATGGCGCGCTTTTTTTTGTTTTTTTTTTTATTTCAGTACAATAGGCACCGGTTTGAAGCCTGAACCGGTGCCTTTAACTGTGTTTTTTTTTTCGGCAATAAATATTAATATTAATACTAATACTAATAATAATAATGAGAACATGTGCATCCTGCATTAATTCTACAAATATTATATAACAATAATAATAATAATAATAATTATTATTATAATATTATAACTAATTATAATAATAATAATAATAATAATAATAATAATAATAATAATAATTTGTAAATTGGAATAATAACAATACATAGATATTAATTAATAATCCCAAATGCAATACTATTTACAAACAATACTAATTTAAAAAAAGTGTCATAATTACAAACAATACTAATCAATAATGTAGTTAACAAGTTCAAATAGAAATGATATTTACAAGTTAAATGTGATGAAGGACGCCAACATGTCTCGAACTTCATTAAGTTCTTTGCTCGTCAACGGACCTCCCTTTTGTACCTTGCAAAGCTTGGAATAAACAAAAAGTATCTTAGAATTAATTACTTAGGTTATGCATGTAAAATTACATTCAGTTAGGCAAAAATTTATTACTTAGGCCTATTTGTCAACTAGGATGTCTATTTCCTACATTTCTTGTCAAATGAACTCATTCTTACTCATAACATATCATTATTACTTAGTTATAGGCGGTTAAGGCTTGAAATCACAAGGAGCAATTTAAGTGTTTTAGGGTTCATTTTCATCCAAATTGGCCCAAGTAAGGCATGTTTGTCAACTAGGATGCCTATTTCCTACATTTCTTGTCAAATGAACTCATTCTTTCTCATAACATGTCGTTATTACTTAGTTATAGGCGACTAAGGCTTGAAATCACAAGAAAGGAGCAATTTAAGTGTTTTAGGACACATTTTCATCTAAATTGGCCCAAGTAAGGCCTGTTTGACTACTAGGATGCCTATTTCCTACATTTCTTGTCAAATGAACTCATTCTTTCTCATAACATGTCATTATTACTTAGTTATAGGCGGCTAAGGCTTGAAATCACAAGAAAGGAGCAATGTAAGTGTTTTAGGACGCATTTCTTACATTTCTTGTCAAATCACTTGTTAAGAGCAAATAAACTAAGTCAATGGCATACCTCATCAAGCTGTAGTGTGTTGTACAACGACTCACTACGTCAAACATGAATCTCATCACGTATAGGCTACAATCAACTCCGTTATCTTGTTGTGCGCACTAGCATAGGAACAAAGTACATGAATCAAACATGCATATATAGCAAATTAGTAACTTTTTACACATTGTTTATTACGAAAATCAAAATATCATGTGGCATTACCATCGGTGATTTCCATGTGGGACCTTGAGGAGCTCGACAATTTATCTTCTTCATAACACTATAGAAAAGGAAGGTCAAATTTGATTAGTATGACTAATAAATGAGTTAGGTAATGATAATCAACACTAGGTAGCTTTATTTACTTTTGCAGTATGGACTTCACGAGGAGCTTTTTTGGATGAGGCAATCGAGCTTAATCAAAAAGGAAGATTGTGTTACTGGAAACACAAATCACCACTAGGGTCCAATGCAAACTACATAAATTCACAATAGACAAACAAATCAATTATTAGCCATGTACAACATATAATCAGGGGAAACAAATGAATTTGACATGGTTAGACATACTCCTCATAACATGGGGCCAATATGAACTTGTCTCCCGCACGCACTGATTCCTTGATACTCCGTTCAACATAGTACAACACGTCAGGGTGGTTGCCTAAGATTCTAGTAGTGGAGATCTGCTCGGGGCATAACCACCCAACTTGACACGGAGAATCAATGTCATGTAAGTGCTCCTGTAGTGCTCTGTATGCATGATAATAGAATATTAATGGAAAAATAAACGACAATCACCGCTAATCTGAATAACATACTTTGAGCGGCATTGAATTACCTCATGAATGTTTGAATGAGGGAAATGTTAAGCATTGATCCACTTAGAAATTCCTTCACATCTTCTTTGCTGAGCCATGCAATTGCATCGTTATCATAGTGGAACAATGCCTTAGGTAGTGCAACTTGAATGGGAGTGTCACTAGGCAACATACTAACACGGTTGTGTAGATAAGTTAAATCTTTAGAGAGCGATTGAAGGACCATGTCTGCAACAAGTGGAGTAGCTTGCATAGCTGAACCTCTGGAAGAATTCTTCTTTGACGCTTTTTCACTCTCCGACCGTTGTTCACTCCTCTTCTTTGGCACCAGCTGATCAATGCTTTTAGGCTGCTCCACCCTCCTACTCTTTGAAGTTTGGCTTTTCTTTCAAATCTGATAAAGCAAATCACGCAATTAGTTAGAAAATAAATCCATCCAACTCTTGGGAAGACAACTGGGCATAGAGTAAAGAGTGAACCCAAAATCTTACCTCGTTGATCAACCTTACCCATTCACATGGCCATTGCACAAAGCTACCTTTCATTTCCCAGAGTGTAGTAATCCCATCATCCTCTACTGGCACCGGTACTCGGATGTACTCGAACCCCGAAACCACAGAATTAATCCCGATCGAGTAATGTTGTGGCCTAAGCGGTCGCGAATGGACCGTACCACTGGTCGGTTGTGCACTAGCATACGCAACCAATTGCAAAGGTCCACTGTTTGATAGCCGCGGGTGTAGAAGTGCACAACGGGTCTCTTCCTGCACCAATTTGGAAGAAGAAATTAACACTTTCAAAGCGATTATAAACAACGCGCACACCGAAAATAAAACCGGAAACAAAATCGAAAACAAAATCGATTTTATGATTATGTTAAGGTATCATTAGGGTTAAATTTTAAGTTGTTAATGATGTATTTTGGTTGAGTTTTAAGCATGTTTAAGCCTCTAATTTATGAATCATGTTTTTAGGTAAGTTTTGTTGTGATTATAAGCCTAAAACTAAGCAAAGGTGCTGCTAGCAGATCAGTTTGTGAACCGTGTGAATTGAGTAATTTTAAGTGATTAAATGCCAAATTTTCATGCCTAATCTTGTGCCTAACTGATCTATTATGTATTTAGAGTGTGTATGGCAATGGGCTAAGGTGAATTATGAGTTTAAGATTGATTTTGGGTGAATTTGTTGTGCAACAAGCAAAGGCCACTTAAAAGGCCTACAAAACACCACAACACCGAACACCACAACACCAAAACTACATAAACACCACAACACCGAACACCACAACACCAAAACACCACAACACAGAAACTGCTCTGCACAGCACAGAAACAGCAGTCACAGCAGACACAACAGGCACAACGACAGCAGACACAGCAGCAGCAGACACAACTCACAAGCAACACAGAAACAGCACAGATACAGCACAACACAGAAATAGCAGCAACACAACACAGAAACAGCACAGCACAACACAACACACAACTCACAACAGATCAGAAGCAGACAGCAGGCAGACACAGCTCACAGAGACAAACACAGTAGACAGACATAGCAGACAAAGCTCACAACAGACACAGCAGGCAGACACAGCAGGAAAGCTCACACAGACACAACTCACATCTCACAGCAGGCAGACACAGGTCACACGAAAACAGCACGCAGACATAGCAACACAGAAACAGCAAGCAGCACAGCGCATCAGAAACAGCACAGCAACATAGCAAAACAGAAACAGCAAGCACAACGGAAACGAAGAAACATCGAGCTATC